ACACATATATATATCGGATTGTATACTATTAGACCATTGACTTCGGAGGTCACAATTATTCTTACCCATTGGATGCGCAATTGGACGGATTGAAGTGTCACAACATTAGTGAAATTTTATTCTGCGCTTTGTGCCTCGTCAGTGACAAATTCCCAACCACCCAATTTTATGTCTAACGGTCAGTATTGATTGTGATCTCCCTATACCAAAAGTAAATGGTCTCATTGTATAGATTTCGCACACACGCACACATATTTATTGATCCATTTTATATTATATAATTTTTATAATATATCATATATATATATATATATATTATGGCCCAAGCTTGGCCCAATTCGTTCTACACCTGTCTGGACGGGCTGTAACTTTTATATTTAGGCCAGGCTCGGGCCTTGCCCATCCGAGTGGGCTTGGGCCAGGTTGCCCAAGCCTGGCCTAGTAGCTGCTCTATAAATATGCATGGATCTCCCATGAAGCTGCCATGTGCTTCTTTGTACATTTTATCCACTAATGGAAAACTTTTGATTGAAAGATATAGTAATACTTGCTTGATTGTCACATTGTCAGTGGGAAGAGGAGTTAAATAAAGATGTTTAATTAGATCAGTTAAATATTAACCATTAATATGGATTAAGCCATGTTGGATCAAGTTGCGAGCTACCCACAGTCAATAGAACTCAAATGTAAAACACAAAAAGAAAAGACAAAAAATAGCTCTAATTCTAACATATTCCAGAAAATTTTCCTTTGTTGTTCTCAAATTTACTAAATATGGTTATATCATAGTATTAGTGAGAGAAGTGTGGTTTCAAATAGTATTGGGTAGTATAGATGTCACATTTTTGTGGTTCATGCTTGTGGGGGTGGTGAAGGTGAAAAAGATGCCTTCAAACCAGCAAAAATGAGAGAGAGGAAGTATAGGGACCTAAATCATATTAAATACATTAAGACTGAGGATCAAATGGTCTTGGTGAAGGATGGTGAGGTCATAAAAAGGTGGAGAATTTTTTTTAAACGATTGTTAGATGACAAACACTATAGGAGTATAGCGTTGGGCAGAACATTTGACATAAATGAGGTCAGAGGTCATAAATACATTTGCAAGATTAGCATATCTGAAGTGAAGAAGCATTGAGAAAGATGAAGATAGATAACGCTTTAGGACCAGATGGTATCCGATAGTGGTTTGGAAGTACATGATAGAGATTGGCTTATTCTGGCTAACCATGTTATTCAACAAGATGTTGAGAACAAAGAAAATCGCAGTTGAATGGGAAAAAAGTCCTAGGGCATCTATTTACAAGAACAAAAGATATACATAATTTTACAAACTATCGAGGCGTCAAACTAGTAAACCATATTAAGACATGCAAGAAGTGTATCCGAAAATCAGCTTGGTTTTATACCAGGGAGGTCAACAAATTGAAGCTATTTTCCTACTTCGGCAACTAATTCAGAAGTTTAGAGAGAAGGGAAAAGACCTCCACTTGGTCTTTTATTGATATGAAGAAAGCACATGATACCTAGAGAGTTAATTTGGTGGGTGTTGGAAAAGAAATGAGTTTCTACAGGATATATTGGTTTGGTAAGAGATAATGTACAAGAGAGTGCTGCTAGTGTGAGGACTAGTGGAGAGACAAGTGAGTTTTTAGTGACATTAGGCTTACATCAGGGGTCGGTGTTGAGCCCATGCCTCTTTGTTTTGGTTATAGACGAGTTAAGTAGGCATCTACAGGATGAGGTACTGTGGTACATGTTTGCGGATGACAGTTTTGATTGATGAGGCTAGAGGCGCCATCAACGCAAAGTTAGAACTTTGGATGGATGCTCCAGAATCTAAAGGGTTTTAAATTAGCTTGACAAAGATAGAATATATGGAATGTAAGTTTAGTAACAATAGGAGTAGAAACGAGGCAGTAGTTATGATTGATGATAAAAAAAATCCTAAAAGAGATAGTTTTGATATTGTGGGTCAATAATCTAGGAGAATGGGGAGGCATTAGTTAAGATTGATGACCAAGAAAATCTTAAAAGCGATTATTTTTTATATTGTGGGTCGATAATCTAGAAAAACGGTGGGATTGAGGAAGATGTCGTCCATAGAACTAGAGCTGGGTTTGCAAAGTGGAGATGTGCATCCGGAGTTTTTTGTGATCGCCGTAGACCAATGAAGCTGAAAGGTAAATTCTATAGGACCGTTATAACACCAGCCGTGCTTATGGGATGTAATGTTGGGTGGTCAAGAACAACATATTCATTGAGATGAGGATATTAAAATGGATGAGTGGCAAGACAAGAAAGGATAGAATTCATAATGAATATATCTGATGGAACTTGGTGGTGGCTCCAATAGTTTATACAATGAGGGAAACTAGACTGAGGTGGCTGGACATGTGCAGCGTAGACTTAATATATCACCAATTAGGAGAGGCGATTGATACAAGTGGGAAGTCCTAAAAGGGCAAAGAGAAGTCCCTAAAGGATACAACTTGAGGTAGTGAGAAGAGATATGGTGACTTGATAGAGTAAAATGGCAGAGCAGGATTCATGTAGCCGACACCAAATAATTGGGATAATGCGCAAATAATGATGATGATGATGCTTGTGGGGTTGGTGTTGTATACAACGATCTTTAGTGGATATGACTCGCTAGACCTTGTTTCATAAGGTAAAACTGCATATCCTTTTAAACCCTTATGAATGGTACAATGTCACATGCATAGTTTCAATTTTCTACATGAAAGATACTTGTACATGGATACTTGAACACCCATTTTTTGACCGATGAATTAAAGTTAATAAGGACAAGAAAAGAATACCATACGATTATATGGTTAGGGGTTTTTGAGGAGAGGGCTCCATTTGCTTTGATACCATGTTAAGATAAAATGCTTGGGAAAAGCCATCTCCATTAGGCATTTAGCTCATTATGCATTGCAATTAAAGTGATTACAGATGCAAGTATACTTTCAGTTAAATGGCTATATGACGCATTAATTAAAAAGAGCACACATGGCCCATAATATCAAAGAATAGATAATGGCATCGGTACATGGCATGTTAAATGTTGCATATAGCCACTTCAGTGGCTTTAATATCTATATATATGCACAAAAATGAAAAAGACAGAATTACTACAAAACAAGTTTACATTTGAAAAATGCAACGGGATCCCAATCAAATTTTTAGATAATAGTAAGTTTCAATTTTTAAATAATTAGTATGTTCAAACATTTATTGGAATTTTACTCAACCCAAATAGAAGAAAGGCATGGCATGAAGATTTAAAGAAATCTCTCTAGGTCTGGCCTAATGCTTATTGCTTCTCTACTTCTCTGTTGTGATTCTGTTTATGAGTTGTTCCCCATTAAAACATAGATGTTTATGAACTTTGTCTGGTTCTGAAAGTAGAGAAGTGCTTGTGCTAGACTTTCTTTTTTTCTTTTTATTAAGTTCCAGATTTTTAAAAGTGGACTCATAAGGGTGTAAAACAAAGAAATGCTCTAGATTGCGATCTATACTGCTTGCAGACTTGGTTGAATATTATTCAACTGCCCTGTTGGATTATTCCTAACTTCATAATCGTTTCTGGAATCGGAATCGCGAAATCGTGTGTATCAGAAGTTTCGGAATCTAGGAATTGTTGCCCGTATGATTCGGATTTGAGAAAAATGATTCTCACTATTTCGAAATCGTGATTCAAAAAATTAGGAATCGTGTTTCCTATTTTCAAGAATCGATGTCCCTTCATGTTGGAATATATGGAATCACACATGACCCCACTTGTTTCGGTGGTTGTTGGAATCATGATTCCTAAAAATATGGAATCGTGATTCCTAAAAATAAGGAATCGTGATTCCTAAAATTCTAGAATCGTTGTCCCCATCAACTTGGAGTCAACATTCTCACTATTCAGGAATCGTGATGCTCCCCATATTGGAATCGAGATTCTCCCCTTACTAGAATTGAGAACCAATTCCCTCCGGAATATGAGAAAAGTATTCAGAAAATATATAAATTTACTCAATACTACAAGATTGAATTTTTGTCTGTATATACTCAATCCAAGACTCCGAGTACTAATGTCAACCTTTATGATATCTTTGTGGACAATCCCATACAACTCTGTCTACCGATAGTCCTATTATGCATACAATATCTGGAGCTAGTCTACGGCATACAAGGAGTGAGAACAAGGGCAAGCTCCCTTTATCTCTTTTCCTTGAATTATAAAATAAGTACATGACATAGTAATTCTTCTTTGTTAACTGTAGTTTTGAGACTTTTAACTTTTGAAAATTAAGTTATTCAATTTTTAGTCAATTTCTTTGATATTTAATGATTAATTTAACCTAAAACGCCACACAGGGCACTTCACTTATATCTTTATTATCTCCTTATTTTACTTAAAGAAAAACATTTTTTTCCTCTTATTCAACTTGAAGAAATGACGGTGCCGATCATATATTAAACATTATTATATTAGTAGTTTAGTACCTACACCATTTACCGGACATTATTAAATTTGAAGTAACATATTTTTTTAGGATTATTTATTCTTGCTAAGTGTTCTTAAAAAGTAACATGGAATGAAGGATGGAAATTAGTAATTAAGAAAATAAAAAATTTAACATATTACTTATATTTTAAAATTTGATTTTATTGCCGTGTGTAACAACTTCAAATTCTCTCACGCTCTCATACATGCCGCGCTCACTCATGATTGAACACACATCGAATGGTTTCTGCTCTCCCTATGCTCATATATTACTCATATTTTAAATTTTGATTTTATTGCCGTGTGCAACAACTTCAAATTCTCTCACGCTCTCATACATATCGCACTCACTCATGATTGAGCACACATCGAAGGGTTTCTGCTCTCCCTATGCTCACATTGCTTCCTGACAACATGGATTCGTAATTCCTTAATACTTTGAATCAACGTTTAGCATAAGTAGAATCGCATTATTGTGTAGCAAGCAATCACGATGTCTACAATATAGAAACTTGATTCCAAACAACATGGATTCGTAATTCCAAAAAATTTGGAATCAACGTTTCTCACAAGCAGAATCGCATTCTTGTGCAGCTAAGAATCACAAAGTCCTCAATATGAAATCTTGATTTTGGCAATCTAGGAATCGAGATTCCTATACTAGGTGGAATCGCGTTCTGCAAAAATTGAAAACGTGATTCCTTTCTTTTAGAATCGACTTTTGCCTGGGGAAACGCTGAGTCGCAATTCCGAAACGGAATCACTACCCTCATAGGCGATTTGGGTAACTATACTCTGAAGACTTTTGGACATTCTACGCCACGTATTAGTTGAGATGAGGTCTTTAGTTTTAAAAAGGAAATTGACTAGAGATGGTTTTCTGATTCTAAATGTACCTCTTATGAGTTATGGTGGTGACTTTGTTATGTACTTGTTGTCTTTCTGTAAGCAATGCAAATTAATCACTAATGATCAACCTTTTTTTGACAGAGAAACTGATTACAGAAGGGATTGTTCCTGAAGAGGAAATTTTATCTGTTCTTAATGTTCCTCCAGGCAAAATGGGGTGCATTATTGGTAGAGGAGGAGCATCTATTAGATCAGTTAAGGAATCTTGCAAGTATGCCTTCAAACTGATTCTCTTTTATGCGGTCACAAGGTTAAGAACTTCTGCACAGCATTATGAAATTGATATCTTGTGCTTTGATTTGATATTACAGTGCTGAAATTCTGATTGGAGGTTCAAAAGGGCCGCCAGATAAGGTTAGTTTATTTAGTTCTGGAATCCGAGTTTAAATTGCTTATGTTTTCTTTTTCCTTTTTTTTACTTTTATATTTGAATCTGGAAGAGTAATTGAGCTTTGATCCCATTTAATATGGGAGTGGTTGGGTGATTATGTATGTAGAAATTTGAGGTACATGTAAAAATATTGTTCTCATTATGCATTAACTTCAGGCTGTGACTACTTGAACTTAGGGCCAGTAATATCTTAAGCTCAGGTTGAAATGGATGTTCTATTCCTCCAAAACTCCTTAGCCAAAGTGGTTAGTGCAAGCAAAATAAAAGACCTACTGGATGCTAATTTTTCTTTGGAAGCAATTACTATTTGTGCATCTTATTTATGGGATTCCGTGTTGCTTGGAGTTTCCTTCAAGCTGGATAAATACATCATAATTTTGTGAAAACACGTGCATTTGGTTAGGATGGTATCAACAATCACCATCGGGCTTTGGTTCCTTCTGATTGCATATAAACGAATCAATTATTACTTTAGGATATTCAAGGAGGAGTAAATGTTTATTGTCAATTTCCAAGCTGTTTCTTGGATCCTTGCTCAGTTAGAAGGCATCTAACATCCGTGCAATGAGACATCTAACATCCGTGCAATGAGAACTCCAGTACCTCGGGCATTATTACCCTAGTCCATGGAGGCTACTCCGGCAGAGTTGCATCGCTATTTAGAGAAACCTGCAGAATGTAACTTTGATTGTGCTTCCAACCATTTTTTTTGTGGATCAAACTTTTGGATTCAAGGTCCATACATGTACAGAAAACCCTGATTACAAGAATCTTTACTGAACTTGTGGTTCATGGCACATGCAGTAACTTTCCATTTATAGTTAATGCGCTGTTGTTTCCCATACTGATTTGAAGTTGAAAATTATTACTTGAGAACATGACCCCATCAAATTTGAAGTTACCATGTAGTTTTGTTAATTGTAATAGATAGTTCGATGAATATATGTATGCTTGCATGATACATGCATTCATTAGATTGCAAAGGTTATGCAAAGATAATGGCAGACCTGTGGCTAGATGAACACATTCTTGACTATGGTATCATGCTAACATGAAATTGGGACCCAGCAACGCCCAATGCCATGTAAAATCGTGTCTTAATTTTTCTTAATAAAAAACACACACACACATTGCAAAATGTATAATTCACTTTTTTCACATTATCTGTACACATGCAAAATGAGAGCTTTAGACTAAAAGTCCTCTAAAGAATTAAGAAAAATGAGATTGTAAGGCAATAATAAGGATTGAACTTGGGAATCGCTTGAATCCCCTATTATGAATTGTGCTAGACAGGGTGATTCGTTACAGTGAACCACCTAGTTCTAGACAACCCAAGTGATTCCCTAGTTTGGGACCATCAAAGCTATCTGAGGCGATGTGGAGTTGGCATGCCATTTTTCAACCATGAAAACCGCGAGCTAAAATCATCGACAGGTGTTTGTTAGCTAGAAAATTATTAGGAAGCAAAATATTATCACAGAATCAAAGACGGTGAGGTCTAAATTCAAAAACTTTTGTAATTGTCACAGGATCAAGATCCCTTAAAACATGAGTGTGCTCCCATTTCCAGTGGGATCGTGATCCTCCTTCGATAGGATCGAGATCCCATTTATTTAGGGGATCAAGATCTCTTGATTGGGGGAAGCTCCAATTGGGCTCTACCTCCGAGATTGCCAAAGAAAAATTTCATGGGGGGATCAACACCTTTCAACCACGCTCCCTACATCTATGATCACTAGTGATGTGAACCTAATTAAAACTTCGACAACACGTCTTATGTTAGAGCCAGAGGCATGACACCCTTCTTCAGCACCATATGTTTTGCATGTTCCTATGTTAGGAAGTCAATCTGATGTGGTACAACGCAAGGCTTCTTTGTGTAAATTGCATTTGTTCTTGTGACAATCATGGTTCCAGGAGTTGTATTGCAAACTTCATTCATGGGTTTAGGTCGTAAGTGAAGGCTGCCCAGGGATAGTGTAGTAGATGGCAATGTTTCAAAAAGAGCTAGGCGGCTTGAGGGGTCAAGGCCTCCCAGTGCCTAGGCGGGCACCCAAATCCTAGGCGGCCCAGTTGAATCCAAAAAGTATACTACACATTAGCACACACTCCATAAGCATAACCATAAGTTGGTCCATATCCAATTAAAACTTAAAATTTACCAACCAAATTACCGAGCCAAAGTTACCAAATATCAAACCAGTGGAACCACAAATCCACTATCCACAATACACAACCAAGAGGAAGAAAACAAAAATGAAAGTAATACTTGAAGACTCAAAAGAATCTTCAATCAATGTTCAAAGTTTAATCATTATTCATAATTCATCATCAGAAAAAATCGAGTTAACTGCATTTGCATCATATTCATCGGCATCGTCATCCTCCTCGACATATTGGTCGTCCTCCTCCGTCTCTTCGGAATCTGCCTCTTCTTCTTCCAACCTTGTCCTCTGTGCAGAAGATCTAGTGGCTCTAGGAGGGTTGGCTGATGCCCCTGAAGCATCCATGACCATGTCCCATGTCAATCCTTCATTCCCCTCGAGCTCATCATCATCAACTAACCACTCCATAGCATTGTCCATATTTTTTTATCTGGGTCTATCTTATCTCTCTTAGCAAACCTATCCTTCAATTATCGATTATACTTGACATAGACTAGGTCATTGAGCCTCTTTGATTCAAGCTTGTTCTTTTTCTTTGTATGAATCTAACAAAATCAAATGAAACTAATTAAAATCTATGGTTCATATATTATTAATACAATTATACAAATTTCCTTTACGGCGTTACCCCTTCAAAAGTACTCCAATTACGCTCACAGCCAGATGAGGAAGTGGTTAGGTTTAAGATCCGAATGACCAACTTTTGTAAATTTGGAGAACTACACCCATGTTGGCTCCACCAGTTGGCTGCAAAAATATAGAATAAAATCATAAATAAGTAATAGAATCATAAAAATGAAACTTGATCACTTGAACAGGTGAACTTGATGAACTTAAGAATATTATTACTACCTGGATCAATTTTGGTCATTTGCCTCATCGCCATTGGACTCCCAAAATATTTTAATGAGCACTTGTAATTTATCAGCTCATCTGCACATATAATATCCTGGATATCAGGATGAGGGACGAGCACATCTACACAGTTATTAAATCCGGTAATAATTGTGTCATTTGTGTGTATATCCTTGTCAATATAAAAAAAGCTGGGTTCAAATAATAACCAGTTGCATGCAATGGTCGATGTAGCTTCCTATCCCACTTCTCATCAATAATCTCCAAAACAGGCTTGTAGCAGTTCTCGTCATTATCAAAATTTTGGGTTATCTCTCGTTTGCATTTCTCCATAGCCTCATATATATAGCCCATAGAAGGCTTGTCACTATCAACCATGCGAAGGACTTTGACAAGAGGAAAAAATGCCTTAAGAGCGCCCTTCACCCCTCGCCAAAAAGCCTTAGAAAGGATAATATCTCTCACCTACTTTCCAACCTGATCCTTGGACCGCTTGCATGCTCTCCAGTCATCCGAGGTAAGCATCTGCCTCAGCTGCACTCTCCTCGAATGTATGCTATCTAGGCATAAGTTCGAGGTCGCAAATCTCGTGACCCCAGGCTTCACAATCTCTTACCCGCATCATGCTAAGGGTAAGATGGTGGCTATAAATGAAATTTGTAACTGACTTTGCCTTCTTCACTGCACCTAATATCTCGGTTAAACTGCCAAGAGCCTCAAGCATGAGGTCTATACAATGTGCTACGCATGGTGTCCAAAAGATTCTAGGATAAGCTATGTGCAAGAAATTAGCTATAGCAACATTAGGAGCAGCATTGTCTGTGACAACCTATACAACATAATTCTCCCCAACCTCCTTGATTCCCTTCTCTATAACTTGGAATATTTAATGGGTATCATGGGTATAATCAGATGCATCAATAGACTTAAAAAAAAAGTCCTTAAATGGCAATTCACAATGAAAATTCATCTGACTTCTTCTCTTCCTATCACTCCAAGCATCAGCCATAATAGAAACTCTATATTGAGCCCATGCATCCTTCTTAACTTCTACAACATCCTTCGTGACATTTACTGTTGTTTTCAAAAGAGGCTATGAAAGCTCATAACGGGTTGGGGGTTCATCGCAGGCTCAAATTGGCCAATTGCCTCTACCAAGGTATAGAAGCTGCTTAGGCGAGTGGTATTGAAAGGAATGCTCGCCTCATAAAACTATGTAGCAATATAAAAGCAGCTCTATCTCTCTCTTCCTTCTTCATTCTATTTTCAGTGGTGGTTTGCTTCTTGGTTTTCTCTTCTGCAATCTCAGGGTCAGACTGGGGCAAAAAATTACCCGAGGCTTCTTATTCCCAAATTCCCTTTCCCTTTCCCCTAATAATGCATTGTTCTACCTCTTGACATCCCTCCCCATCCTCATCACTATCATCATCATCATAACTGACCGCAGACCTAATCTCTGCTATGGAGGCAAATTTATCATCTTTTTTCATTTTTACCATACTCACAAAATTTGTTATTTCCTCTTTAACAACATCATGAGTCTTTTAACATGGGGCAACATCCCCCCTGATACCGGCAAGATGTTTCTTGAATCGGTTTATGACCCATTTTGTATCCTTCTCACAAAACTTGCATCTTATGCAATTTTTATCATTAGGATCTAGGTTGTAGCCATATTTCCAACCAGGATCACCACTCCAATTAGATCCTGAAGGAGACATCTCAAAATAATACGACTTATAGAAGCAATAAAAAAAATCACTTACTTTGATTGCTCAATCTCCAAATTTTCTCCTCAAATATTCATATAAATCCCCAAAATCTTCTAAAAACCCTCCAATAGATTTATAAAACATCACAAATTAAATCTAATATCAATAGATGATGTTTTGATAAATTTCTCACAACTTTGAGAAACCCTTCAATCCTAAAGAAATCACCAAAAATTGGTTTTTGGGGTTTTCTGCTCTCTAAAATGGTCTCGAATATGTTTTAGGTTACAAATGAGCTTAGAAACAAGAAATTTGGCCCTTTAATATAAAAAAAGTTGACCAAAAATGCCCCTACCGAAAGTGTTTTCCGCCTCTGGGCGAGACGTAGTCCCTGGGCGGCCGCCTAAGCAGGTTCCTGGGCGCCCAGGGTTTTCTACCTATTTTTGGCAATTAGGCCTGGGCGATGCACCCAGATCCGCCTGTCCAGGCGCTGGGCGGTCCGCTTTTTGAAACACTAGTAGATGGATTATTGGATTACCTCATTTGCCATTTATAATTTTCTATATTGTTTGATGTAGGTGGCTTTCCTGTTGTGCTTACACTTACATGCGTTCATGTATTGGAGACACTTGTAATTTTATTGTATGATTGTCAATGTGGTGTAATAGAAATGTGTGTATTATTCTATGATGATGCTTAATGGTACTTTGGAAGTTCAATCAAGGGAGAGATTGGCAAAACTTGACGCTACCCCAGCATTTGCTACCGTGAAATGTAATTTAGCAGATGCTCACAAGGCAGTACAAACTCATTGGCATGAGGGTGCCATTGAAAATATGGAAGGACAAGTTTCGAGATGCTTTGGGCCCTTTGGACGTAATGAATTCTACATGGCAGAAGGCTATCACTTTAATAAGACCTCTAGAGTCTTTAGTTTTTTGTGCTTTCACTCTCAATCTTTATTAAATTTAACTAATGTTGCTGCTAATGTAATTACATGATGATATTTTTTATTTCTTCTGCATATTTATTTAATATTTCATACCCATTTGGTGCAAGTGCAAGAAGTGTGATTCATCTCAATGAACAGAATTTTTGCATGGATCCTATGGAGCACATTTTCTTAAATTGACTGTTATAATCTTGACAGTCTCTTTCATGGTTTCTGGGATCTCCCAACCTAGGTGGAATTCCCGTTTAGGAATCTCATTCTGGCACTTTGAGAAAGGGATCTTCAAGGAATCTTGATTGTTTGAATACCGGGATCTCGAACCCCACTATTAGGGATTTTAATGCCACCTTAATGACCTAGATAATTACTAAACTAATAATTTTCTTTATTTATAGCTTGCTAGCAATGCAATTATACTTTTAATAGAGTTGCATTCCTGACTGGCTATAAATAAAGGATCCCTAATTTAAACAGTGTATATAGTCTTTTAGACTGCCAACCCCAAATAGTTGGGATAAAGCTCGGATGATGATAATACAGTCCTAGACTATATGTGCGAAGTAAGGTTGGCAGCAAGATCTCTAAAAGGTTGAGATCGAGATTCCCAAAAGATTGGGATCGAGATCCTTAACATACGCATTGTACGGATGTTGCTCATGACCATAAGGATCTTATAACCTTTCACAATCCCCCACTTCCGATTCCAACTGTGGTCTCTTTATTTTCTGCTCTTGTCCTTCATCATCTTTGTCTTTCCCAAGGCCACTTCTCGAGTTTGTCGACAGCACAATAAACACATCAATTGGCTTCATAAGAATCAAATCTGTGACCTTGTAATTTGACCTTATGGGCTAACATACAATATGGGAAACACGTTGTTGGCTGCAAGGAGATTTGCATTGGAGAGATAAAAGCTATGGATATGTTGAAAGTTATTAGGCCTGGTTGATTGCTGAGGTGTATTCCAAGGATATTATGGGGATCCTTGCCTGGTTGCACAGGTGATGTGACATGAGCAACAGATTTCTTCAACTAGTGCATCAGTTCTACTTCATATATAGATTCTGTTTACTAAGTGCAGGGTCTCAGTGCGGCAGCCGATACACCTGTTTAAATGAATCTGCTTTCGAAATCCATCTAAGAGATTAATTTTGGATCCAAAATTTAACAGGTTGACAATTCTTGATCTCCACAATCATGAATCCGAAAGAAAATGAATTTTGAATCCTGAAAATAATATAGTTAAACTTTATTTTCAACCATTCATTTTAGTTTTTTGACAGATCGATGAGATCTGCACTACTTCTTGAGCTGCAAATGCATGGATGAAAGGCAGAAATGCATTTGCAGCGATTTAAGATGCATTTTATATCCAAAATTCATGAAAACCTCGGTGGATTTGCCTATGCCAATGCAAGTAAACTTTCCCATTTACAAATAATGATCTGAGGGAATTCGGAATTCCTCAACTCAAGATATTCCCTCAGTCCCGATTTTATACCCCTGACATGGGTTATCTGTGTATGTGATGTCTACTACTATGCCTTCCTCAGTCCACTGGCTTCAGATGGCCTCAAATGGCCCCAAGAGCTATTATTGAGAAGATTTATGAAACAATTTTCTCAAACATTCTGAGGATTTCTTTGAACTGGAGTGTGACTTCTTTAATCTGACATGTTTATTCTACGGCTCCTAGTTTCGGCCCCCATTTGTAAGGGTTACCGTGGTCATCTGTGATGTTCATTAGGCCTAGAGGTAGCATGATTCCCTCGTGGGTATGAAATTTCTAAATGCAAGTTCACCTGGGAAATAGCTTGACCATACCCCACAAATACTATTTAAAAATGGGTAGGTCAGCTTGTTTGGACTTGTTGGGATGAACTTCAAGTGTTTGAACCTTTGGCCTCCCTCACAAAACTGGGATGCCTACCACCGAGTGGAAACCTTAGTCACAAAGTATTGCAATGGTTAGTATACTTGTGTTTGTCTAAATTTTGAAACGTAAATTTATCTAGATCAGGATTTTCTGTGAACATAGATTTTTTTATCGTTTACCTTCTGATTTCCAAAATCTCATGTATCTATTCTACTTCCCTTCTTGATCTAGTTTCAAACGTCACATTTTATGATGCCTTTTGTTGCTCTTTGCTGACTTCCCCAATAGATGTCTATAGTTTCTTGGACATCTTCTTTCTTGGGAATTCAAGGTGAAATATAGAGGTCCCTCTTATTGAAATTTTTGGACGAGTTAGTTTATTCAAGTCCAGTCAGCAAGTATTATCAATTTTCGAACTCTTAAAGACGATATCGGCTAATTTTTAAGAGTCCCCGAGCCATGGTTTGATTTACTTGAATGTCCAACTTCTAGTAAAAGAGGTGCATTTTCCCAAGTTTAGTGACCTTTCGAGTGTGTGAATATTTTTCTTTTACTTTTTTCTTTGGTTCATCTGGTAATAAAAGTTAAAACTAGTGGCCTTATTTATACTCTCAGGGGGTCTGTGTAATTTTTTTTATTTGGATCCCTTTCACTTCTTTTGCCTTCGAGCCAATTGATGAAAATTCTTTGACATTTTGTTGATCAATGATCTTGACTTCGCCTTGTACAAACACTATATAGATTTTTCCAGATCCATTAACTCTATTAGTCAAAATGGTCCCAGACTTGAAGGGAATTTGTATTGTTTACATCAAAATTTTCTTGTCAGTTGGAATGTTATTCATTATTGTATTCTAATTTTTGGAAGTAAACTTTAGCAGAAATCAGTATGGTACACATTAGTAGAAATCAGCATGGATTAAATATTTATAATTTAGTGTAATCTTATATGCTTTTTTGCTGTTTTATGAATATGTCTGATTTATTTTTGTACAAATTGAATTGAAGTGTATTCACATGCGTTTTCCCAATTTTCGTTTTTTTTTTTTTAGGTTTTCTCATATTTTTTTAGAGAAATTGTAAACTTGGGGGAGTTGATTTTCTATTAATGTGAGTCAATATAAGTTGTCCTTTCATCTGAATTGGGACCCAAGCCTAATGTTGGGAAATGCCACAAGCACATATTCTTGTTTCCATGTTTCTCTTGTGCTACATATCGAGCACAGAAATTTGTTTTGATGGGATCTGTGGGCATCGCTGCTTAACTGCACTGTGATATAGTATCTGCTGACCATCGCGTTAATCTATTTTACTGATGTAGTGATTGCCATTTTCTATGGAAAATGTGATTTTTTTTATTTATACTGGGATCATCTATATAAACATGTACTTATCTGTGGGGAAATTCTTGCCACTCACACTGTGTTGTGATTCCTTTTAATCTGATTTAGTTCTCAAGAGTGCATATGAATATCCATTCTGAGTTTTACAGCTAATGGCTGGAGATTAATAGGTTATCTATTCTGTCAGAGCATTACAATATATAAGGATAGTTTATGCCTTCTATTCCTGTTGAATTTCTAAGGTCAGATTTGCCTTTGCTTTATAGTGCAAATTTGAATTTTACTACTGCAACCTTCCCAAGGTCTTCACTGTCACATTCAGTAAAACACTTGTTTATAAGTTGCATAATACAAAGAACTATTGGAAATTGCTGATTAATTTTTACTTGTCCAATTATTTCTTGGACCAAACTTAGGAATACTTTGCATGTGCATAAACAGTTGAACATGTGATTAGGATCTTGTAATGACAGAAAGTGGCCTTCAACTCTTGTAATATGGGGAAATGGTAAACAATTTTTGTGATATCGATCTCTGATGCCATGCTTACTCATAATTTCTTTCATTGTGATTGACTGTTTCCACTGTAAATTGGTCACACAGTACCCATGCCCAAATATTGTTTTAACTGTTCTAACTCATTCATTCAAGGATTCATATGGTATTTATGGCAGGTTTTTGTTATTGGAGCAGTGAAGGAAGTGAGGAAAGCAGAGGCCATTATGAGGGGAAAGATGTTGTTTAGCTAGCCATTGAGCCATTCTGTTTCGGAGTTTCTCACTTCGCATGATATAGACTGTATAATGCCCATTGTGCATGTCCCATTTTCTTGAGATAAGAACACAACAAATGCTCGCTTTATTCCAATTTCCTGGCAGGAGGTTTCTTATATCATTACTGTGTTCTTTTCCCCCTTTCCTATTTGCAATGTCAAAAAGCCTTGCAAGATGAAAGGGGCATCAGATATCAGAGAGCTGATTCTCACAATGTGCCAATATTTGAGGGCATAAATCCATGATTCTCTTTTACACTCTAAATGACCGAAAATGGAAGGCCTGTGTTGTCAAACTTGTATATGAGTTTCGATAATTTCAACAAATATGGGTGTTTATAAACATGCTCCCAAATGTCTTCATCTTGAGTGCTACAATAAACCCATGGGTTTCTTTTACTTTCTAAACAACCAAATACAGGACTGTGTTGTCAGATTTGTACATGATCTATGATTTCGATAGAAGTGGACATTAGGTGTCACCTACTGTTTTGCCTAGTATCGGACTTGAGAGCATAATCCATTATTTTTTTAACTGAATATGACTTCAAACACTGGGCATTTATGTATGATGATCCTATGATTTTATAAGAAGCCCAAACATAAGTTTTTAATATAATTGTTACTTCAAATTGTGGAAAGAGAAAAAAATCCAGGTCTGTTACGGTGGATAAAAGCAGGAAAGGACCTGAGGTTTTAGGGAATGGGACCTGATTGCACCTGATTCTACAAGTTTTGCTCTAACCCAACTGGTTAATGGAATGTTTTCTATTTAGAAATCATGGAACTTCCACTAGCAAATACAAACTTTAATATCATGGTTGTAGTTACTGCTTTGTTGAGAAACTTGCCAATTTATTGTTCTTACTGCTAAGACTGCTTTCATTTTTTGGTGACAATGCAACAAGAAACACGCATCACGAGTTTTCATTCGGAGATCATTTCAGTAGAGATGCTGCCCTCTCAATGCTTCATATTTGCTTCATGACTTGAAGCTTAGCATGATTACAGCACACCGTCCCAAGTTAGAAAGTTTGAACTTAAAGCTGAGGGAAAAGTTTATATAGAACCGAGGCTCTAAACAATCAAATTAAAACCTACCTCAAAAATTTCACTAGAAGAGGTTGTTTTGATACCCAAATATCCTCAAATTGATCACCTCGACATCAAGATGCATGGGCATGAGAAAAAAAATGGATTTCAAGTTTTGGAAATAGCGTATTTTGTAATGCATTTTTGAACTGTCAATTTTCAAAATTTTCAAGTTTTCATAGATCTCTTCATCTACAATATTTTTTATGCTTTAAATTTTATAAATGAAGATGAAAATATATTTTAAGGCAATCACAAAGATTTGAAGTATTGAAACCACATTTCTTGACAATCTTTGAAGGTACCTTTAATTTGATTGTTTAAAGCGTAGGCTCTATGTATATAGATATAATAAAATGAACAAAAAGGGTATGGTTTGTATAAGGTGCACCTCCAAATTTTGTCATAAGATGCAATTTTCGCATTAAAAATTCTTAGGATGGTCCAATAATCTATTTTTCTCTCTAATTTTATTATTTTAAACTGAAAAAACAGTTCAACTCAAGTAGGTGTATGAACACATAAAAATCTTGAAAGGGTTTAGATAAAAAAAAAAATGCTGCTAGATGTACTACTTTTGGGGCTTCAATTTTTATTTTTATTTTTTCCCCCAATATCTATACATCTTGACACCGGGATGATTAATTAGATGGTTTTTCAACATTAAGACAACTTTTTCATATGGAGTTTTAGGCGCACCCTAATTCTACTATAAACTTCTTAAAAAAAAAAAAAAAAGGACCCACCTCAAAAGAAAAAAAAAAGTTCAAAACATGCAAACCTGACTAACCTGTCACTATTATTGAAACTCAGGTGATCCCTTTGAGACCTCTGTAACCAACCTTTTAGAGTCCACAGTGATAACACGTCCTTGCCATGCTTCCCATATGGTCATGGGATCCACTGATGGCTTCGGTGGCCACTTCAGTACTTTGTTATTTATTGCCCGCTTGGTCTACCATAATTGTATAAAGATCCAAGAGAGGTGGTGGTGCCCAAAGATTTTGGAGCTGTACATGACCAATGGTACTTGGCAATCATACGATGATAACTCACTACTAAAGTAAAATATGAAGGAAAGAAATTATATAAGGTAGCAACCTCAAAATGGAGAATTAAATATGCATCTCGAAAATCTATCAGAAAATGTTGTTTTAATGTTAAAAAAATATTTTAATTGATCATCTCGATATCGACATATATGTATATGAAAAAAAAAAAAACATTTTGAATCCCAAAAATAGTGCATATTACAATACATTATTTAGACCATTCATTTTCAAGATTTTCATATGTTTATGATTTTATTTGATTTTAGCTATTTTTTAAGTTTAAAATTTTATAATTAGAGATGAAAATAGATTTTCAGATAATCCTAATAATTTTTTACACAAAAATTACATGTTAAGATAAAATTGGAGTTAAGTGGATTATTTAAGGCTGCAACCGATGCAACCCACACCCAAATATAAAATAGGACCATTTACTCTCGATACAAAAAGGTAATAATCAACTCTAACCATTAAATGCAAAAATCAGTTAGCTAAGGCAAATCAATTTTTCACAAAACTCAATAAAATTTTCCCAGACTTTGGACTATGTGTGCTATTGGGTAGCACATCAGACAACCACATGTAATTGTGACCATGTATAAAACGAAAAAGGGCTTGTTATATTTAAATCCTATTGCCACATAAATATGTTTCATTAGGAAGTATCTTGTAATAAATAAATATGGCAATTTCGATTCCACTTGCACATGAGACATATGGTACGGGTTGTAACTCTTTCTTGCTTCCAATTTCCGGTGCACATTGGTTTTTAGTTGAGGTGAAAGGTTAATTGGATAGGAAAGGGCCTTAATTGGCTTAAGGGTAAACACGCCCTCCAACTAGAAAAAAGTGAAAATTTGATTAAATTATCAGTAAACTAAATTATTGGTAATAAATTAGTTTTGGTCAAGAAGTTGGAGGTATAAAATCGGGAAAAAATATGATTTGCCAAAAATTAGGTAACATAATTGTCAATATTTTTGAGTTAACTGGCAACGAGTATCGCAACGTTCGAGCCTACCCACGAACAAGGGGAAAGGCGCGAACTACAATCTAGATAGGTCCTACACATCTAGATCAACCTCTTTTTTTGAAGCCACGGGACCCGACCCTCCGCTTTCTGCTTCAGTATAAGCCTGACAAATTCTTGGCCAGTCCCTTTCTGTCAGAAGAAAAAAAATGGAGTGAAACAACCGGATATGTAAAAATAACATCTGATAGAATTGTGACCTACAATTATTGTAAGGTTACATTAAAGTCATTGAATAATAATGGTATGGACTTGGTACTATTTATAATTATACTTGGTAAATTTTTTGTCTAAATGATTTAATACAACATGACAGAAAGTATAAACAATTTATTGGGGGCATACTATGATCAGTAACAACAATAATAAACACAACAATCACATTAATCAATAAAAAGTTTTGCAACCCAAGGTATAGGATCCTTGTTGGGTTAACAAAGAAACCACTTAGTATAGTATCACAATTAAAATAATAAACACAAAATCTATTAAAAGTGAAACAATTGTCCATTCAAATTGTTATGTTGTATACATCATTGAAATAACAAAAAATTTCAAAAAAAGTAAAATTAAGTATACAAAATTAATTAAACTTCTATATATAAAGAAAAAGTAACAAAAGACCTACTTGTACTGCGCAATTTGTGTAAGCAAACCCAAACCTAAATGTTTGAATGTCAGCTCTAATTCCCAAGTCTAAATCTCTAGTTATAAGTAAATATCTCTTTCTCTCTCCCTCTTTGTAATGGTGCTCTTGGTTTAGAAAAAAAGAAAATTTCTCAATCAATTATTCTTCCTCTAATTCTACCTATTATTTTGATATATTAGTTTTTTTGGGAGATTTTTTTCTCGGGAAATACATTGCTAGTATCTTATTTGAAGAGAAGAAAATTTTTTATGAAAGCCGTTGATGGGATTTTTTATTATATCAAGATTCTTAATTTAATCTCATTTTAATGTGCTTATGCCAAAAAAAAAAAAATCCAAAGATATCAAATCAATGAATAAAAGAGTAAAGTTACAATGAAGAAGTTTGTTTGAAAAGATAAATGCTTTTATATTGGCTCCACAAAAGAAACATGATTTTTTCTGAAGAGCTTATGAGAAAGAGTTTTAAACCGATTTTAAAAACATTAGAGTTTTTTCGTGTTTTAATCCGATAAACTTGCTAACTATAGGTGTGACATGTTCAGTCATAGGAGGGAAAATTTGTCCTTGCTGTGTTGCGATTCTAAACGAAGAAAAGGGAAGTGCAAGTGCTTGCATCAAAAGCTTGCATTTTGGACCCTTGTGCCCAAAAATACATTTTAGCTTGTGTTTGAAAATGGCCAACCTATATTAGAATCGATTAGAATTGCCCAATCTGGATTGAAAATCATCTAGGGTGATCCATTCCTGCAATATATGGATAATTGGTTATGCCCTCACCCCAAAACCTGCCAGTTCGAGCTTAGTTCATACCGGTTATGTCATAAATAATCTAGGGCGATCCATTCTCACAATTATATGGATAATTTGGTTATGCCGTCCCCCAAAACCCGCCAGTTCGAGCTTAGTCCATACTGGTTCTGTCATAAAAACTGATTATGCCCTCGACCCATAATCGAACTGGCCAGTCCGAGTTGACCATACCAGTTCTCTATGCCCTCCCCTAGAACCGGCCACTTCGAGCTTAGCCCATACCCATTCTGTCCAATGAATTTCCAATGTAATCTTTCAAGGCGTGTTTGATAAGTGGAAGTTTTTGGAACTGGGAGTTAAATGTCTCACTTTCATGTTTGATGTTACTGTGTGGAAGTTGTAAAGTGGAAAGGCGACCTCCCATGCAGCCTTTTTTTAGTGTTAAAATGAGTTCATTTTTGGAAGACCTCTTTTCTATAAAAAATAATAGAAGACGAGTCTTCCATAATTTGTGGGAGAGTCCCTTTCACTCCCAAAAACTCCTAAATATCAAATTTTTAAATCAGAAAGTCGGTTGTAGATGGCTTGCATTACCGTTGGGCCCAATGCCTAAGAGGCTTCAATGATTATTTGCTTGAGGTTGAGAGAGTGCCGCTTTTATAAAACTCATTGCCTCCCTGATGTGGGACATTTCTTTCTCCCTTGCTCACCCAGCTTCTTTTTTTTGCGAGGGACATAAAAAGACTATAATATAGGTAATAAATATCAATACTAGTAGATAAGATAGCTATTGTATATATTTAATACTTTATTCACACGGGGGA